CAACTCTACATTATAGTAACTTTTTGCTTAAGTGTTATAAGGACTTTAAATGTTCCGGAAGATTTCCTATCCCATAACAAGAAATCCGTTACGTGTTCTGTTGTCTGGCATTGCGAAAAACAAAAATAACATTAGAAAGATTTCCATTTTTGCAACACTAATAAAAATGACGGTGATGAAAATTTAAGACTCCGGCCTATAAAACGCAGCCATTTTGCTAATCATTTAGGACCAATTATTCTTCCCTATAACCTTTGATCCTAATACTTAAAAATATCAATAAATGTTAAATTTCTTTTGTTTAATTTCTATCACTCGCAGAAGACTTCCGATCGAGTTCGCCAGGGCGGACCCCAAAAGTACAGTACTTCCGATCGATTTCGCCAGGGCGGCCCCAAAAGTACTTGTCACATGATTTGAATCATCGCACAGCCACTTCTCAATAACCAGTATCGGTATATTTCTTTGTTGCGTAAATCGGGTTAAGAAATTTTTACAATAATAAAGCTGCATGCGGGAGCTAGACGATTCAACCATTTTTTAAGAAATTATGCAGTGGTTGTAGTGTCTTATCATCTGACCAGTACTTTTTGGGGCGAACTCACTTCTGATCTATCAAGTCCAGATGCATCTTGCAGATCACCGACAAATTTTAGAATTATTCGCTTAAAACTTTAATGAATGATTGGTCATTACGCACCCAACATCTATACGTGTCTATATATCGTCAACAATTCTTACCAGATAGATCCATTGGTGTGCGAAGTGACATAAGGTCGATTTGTGTCCTTTTTGGTTGACAACTTCTATAAATCTCAAAAAATCAGGTTTTCCTTTTATGAGTGACAATTAATATTTTTTAGATATCATTTGTTAATGAACCAATACCGACTATCAATTGTCAAATGATGATTGTATGATGATTGTACAACGTGTTCCTTCTAAAAAATTACGTTTATTTCCGTAGAGATTATATATAGAACAGACTACGTAACTTTAGAAGAGATTATTTGGATATTCTGCAAAAGGAAAACCCACATATACGTATACCAATAAAGGTTTGCAATAATAAGCTGAAATGATTGTAGTTCTAAATTAAATAAATAATTCTTCTGATGTATATAACAATACTGTAATACTGTAATACATGGTTTCGATGCTTGCAGAAGTTTGATCATCACTAAATCAACTTCATTGTTTCTTCATTGCTTTGTATTTTTTTTCCTTGTTGTACAATACGCAGTCCAGAAAAACCACTAGATTATTTAATTTATATGTACGTATATGGATTGATAGAAATTTCATTATTTAAAGACGACGTTCTCTTAAACTTGATTCTATCCTAAATAAAAAGTAATGTTATTTTTAAAAAAAAACGATCGTTATGAAAAAAGGCAAATAAACCTGCTAAGAGCCGAGGTCTTCGATTCGTATCGAATCTCACCCCAACATGCCTGGGTCAGGCTCTCGAATGTTTAGTACTCATTGCCAACTGAGTACGTCATCAACGACGAACAGCACACTGTTCCTGCACCCTATGACCCTTCAACAAATTCCCGAAAACCAACGAACCACAAAGGCACCAGAATAATTTCCTTTTGTTTCGCAAAGGTGAAAAAATTAATGCAAAAAAATTCATCCTTAGCTGCTCAAAGGTGGAGTGATCAACCACCTCTGTGTGAATCAAGGCCCTTAAAAACATAAGGAAATGTTCATTGTATACTAACTCACAAAATGACTCACAATATGACTCACAAAATGACTCACAAGATGTAGTGTACGATATATATATATACATTCTTTTCACTAAATGGTTTGGATTATTACAATTTCCATACAGTGATTCATATAATATTTTTTTTTCGATTCGTATAATGAATTTTTATTCGATATTTAAGAATCGATTCAAATAATATTTAACGAGATCGTTGTCTTTTTTTTTTTTTTTTTTTTTTCAAATAATAT